GCAAGTGCCACGAAGCGATATTTCCTGCTCCCAGCCCACCACCTCGCCTTCTCTGTCGCCCTCCTGGCCCAGGCCCATCAGTAGCAGGCCCGAGCTGTCCCGAACCGCACTTACCTTGGGTCTGCAAGCTCACACCGGCTCGTGATGCCACGGAGAGGGCTCGAGATTGTCTCCGGTGGACCCCATCCGAGGCGATTCCGAGGGCTTTACGGAGGTCATTATCGGCGCCACCGACCGTGAAATGTCCTGTTCCACAGCCCCTATGCACAAGGTGCATGGATGCAGTCATAATATGTAGGCCTTCTCTCCCAATCTTTTGAGCACTAGCCGCAAACGGCGCTTCTTGGCACTTCATCGCGACACGTCCAGGTGCCGAAGCGGCTTCCCAGCTCACCACCTCGCCATCTCTGTCGCTCTCCTGGCCCAGGCCCATCAGTACCAAGCCTAATCTGTCCCAGACCGCACTTATCTTGGGTGATGAAGCTCACTCTGGCTCATACCACGGCTCTTACGGCCTCACACACGCCTATTTCACCCACAGACACCGCCGGCACGCACTCCCACTTCACACACGCTCAAGCACAACCCCATCAAAGCACAGCCCTGCTCATAATTGACAAGGGCTACCACTTGGTGGCCCTGGTAGCCTCTGGATCGTCACTGCACTCGGCTCCTCTGCAGCGGTCTCGGCTCTCGCCACGACAGCACGCCGACGGCAAGCTTTGAGATCCGTCTGGTGGACCTGCTGTGGCCAAAGCCGCCCCTCACATGCAGCTCGCACCAGACCTCGACACTGGGCCCGCTCAGCTTGGTCGTGGCGGCGTGTGTGAAGGATGCGCGGCCGAGCCGCTGGCGCTGCTACAGCGGCGCGAGAAGCAGGCAGCGGCGCGACACCCGGTCGGTCGAGTCTGGCCGTTCTCTCGACGCCGGCCGGTGAGACTGACGGCCTGTGGCCGGCTGGTGGGCGGAGAGCAGCCAGGAGGACTCCAGAGTAGCCAGCAACATGAAGCAACGGGAGAGCGCACAGCGAGCGCAAACACAGCTCTGAGAAAGGGCCGGGAGTGGGCCTTTAAGGTGGCAGTCCGGGTTCTGTGAAGAGGGTCGCTCGTCGAATGCGAGCCAGTTCGCTCGCGACGCCGACGCCGACGCCGCCGCCGGAACGACCGCGGCGGCCGGTCGAGCGGCCGCCCCGGCCAGCGGCCGTATCGAGCCTGCCCGTCGCGAAGGTGCGGACCTCACGCGCCCCACCGGCCGCCCGCGCCGCCGCGCCCACGTCGCTCTCTCGAAGCCCAGCGCCACGCCGCTACGACTCCCATCGCGACGACTCCCGTGCTCGCTCGTGGCGCAGGCGATCGACTCCTGACACCCATCGAGCGGATGGGCGCGTTCCCGCCGCGACCCGGTACTCTCGAACGACTTTTGAGGGCAAAAGGTGCCGCCCGAGCCCATTCCCGCCGCCCGCCGCCCGAGATCAGCTGCCACCGGCCAGCGCGCGCGCGGAGACCTGCCGCGAGCGCCTCCGTGGCCCTAGCTGGGGTGATTAGCAAGCGCCTCGGCACTTTAGATTCGCCCCTCGGGCTTTTCCGCGCGCGTGATCAGTCTCGCGTTCTCTCCTTTTTCAGGCGCCTGTTTTCGGCCTCTGAAGAGCAACCGTCGAGGCGTCGATGCTCGCCTCCACGCCCGCGCCAGACCTCCGCGATTGGGGCGCCTTGTCGACGGGATCAATTGTGATTCCGGGCGTATTTTTCTGGTATCTTACTCGCACGTCGGCGACTCTTAGTCGCTTCTCCGTGCTAGGAGGCCTCTGTTTTGTGTCCGTGAGGACTAGATCGAAACTAACATTCGGGAACATTTCAGTAAGATATCAGAAAAATGCGCGTTCGTTCACAATTCATGTGTATATGAACGGTGCCGACGGGTTTGGCGAGCAGCGAAGCCGTCCAGGCGCAGCAACGCGACGGTTTCGGAGGCCGACGGCTCCGAAAGAGCCTCCCGAGCGAGGCCGGCGCGGTCACGGTACCGTGGAGGCCACAGACGTCGCCGGAGCGGCACTCCCGGGGCGCCACTCCCTCACCCGGTCAGGGGGGGCCAACCACAGCCCGCCTCACCGTCCGTGGAGCTTCCGTGGTCCGCCGCTTCGGCTTCGATTTTCGACCCTCCCGAGGCTGCTATAGCAGCCCCGCGGAGCCTCCCGGATGCATCGGCACACCGTCGTCCAGAACGCCGGCGCACGCGCTGCCCAGTGACTGGGCGGGTCGGCCCCGACTAGGGGCGGGCCCAGCCGCGCGGAGAAGACCATCCCACTCGCGGTTCGTCGCACCGTCCGCTCCAGTTTTCGTCTCGAGCGGGTCGTGAGACGGCCGCGAGAGCGAGCACCGCGGTCACGGTACCTTGGAGGCCACAGACGTCGCCGGAGCGGCACTCCCGGGGCGCCACTCCCTCACCCGGTCAGGGGGGGCCAACCACAGCCCGCCTCACCGTCCGTGGAGCTTCCGTGGTCCGCCGCTCCGGCTTCGATTTTCGACCCTCTAAGCTCGACGCTGCGAGTTGTAGCCCCTGAATGCTCTTATCGCATGGCTGGCATTTCTATCGTTCAGCGGCCAGCGCGCCTCGTCTACCCTCCCCAGCCTTGCCCTTCACCCGCTCCCCAAGGTCTTTTCGGGTTGCGTGTCGCTCGAGCCGGTCAGCTTCCCCACGTCGGTGCGGAGCATCGGCGAGAATGCCTTCCGCGGCTGCTCTTCTTTCGCTAACGTTGGAGGCCCCTGTCAGCCCGACATGACCAACGACGCAATCCGGTCGCTTGTTGAGGAGCTGCGGAGCGCGAGGAGCGGTAGCAGGTGCGACTCCTCCGCCCTGCTTCCCTCATACATGGATGAAGTGTGAGGCTCAACACCGTGCTGCCTCTGTCACCGACAAGTTCTGCCTCAAGTTCTTCCATCGCCCCCCCCCCCCCCCCTCCCCCCTTCAGGAGCGGTAGTCCGAGCAGTTGCGGTGGGCAACCCTGGCGGCGGCCGGCGTTGATGCCACTCGGCCGGAGCTCGCCCAGCGGGCGGTCCCCTTTGAGCCGATCGCCCCTCGCGCGGGGTCGCGAGCGCACGCCGAGCCCCGGCCGCCCTGCCTCTAGCCCAAGTGGCGACAGCGTGCATGAGGCGATGCGCATGTCGATTCTCACATGGCTCAAGGAGGCGGAGAGTAGCTCGCAGGCGAGCGACGAGGTGGACGAGGCGGACACGTGCATCGGGTACGAGTCATCTACAACCACACGCGGCGCCTCCTCCTCCATCGAACAGCCCCTCCCCGTCGCACCCAAGATCTGGATCAAGCCCGTGCGGTCGCGCTGGCTCAGCCTCCTTGATCCGCGCAGCTACTTCTCGGGGGGAAACTTCTATTCCGCCGCCCGGCTGCGGCACGTGGACGGCGCCTACGAGGTCGAGGGGTTCGGCGACGGCGTGGTCCGTGCGGCGAGGGTGCACAACCGGCGCCGCCTCGCGCTACAGCTCGAGTGCGAGCTGCCCGGAGGCGGCATCCGCTTCTTCCGGGCGCGCTGCTTGACAGACGATGTCTTTTATGCGCTGATCGGCTCGTGCGGCGCGTCGCTGGTACGCTTGTAGCAGGTAAGGACACTGTTTGGTCGAGCACGGTGCTCTCGTCTTACACGTGTCGTGGCGCGGTGTGCTCTCTCGGTCTCGGCCGCCCAGCCCACAGCCCTCTCGCCGCCGCGTCCGGGGCGCGCGCCCGCCCCCGCTCTCTCTCGTCAAACACAAACTCTCGACTCTCCGCCCCGTCTCTCGAGCCTCGTGCCTCTCGTCTCAACTCGCTCGGGGGACCCCCTTTCGCATTCTGTGCCGCTCTCTGTGTGGGTGTAGGCTACATATTGGGTTGTAAGGAATGATCACATCACAGACATGGGCCCCACAGCGCGAGAGTCAGAGCAGGGAGGATGCGGTTATACCCCGCGGCTCGGCTTGCGTACGCGGCAGCAAGAGACTCTATGCTCGACGAGCAGCCCACAAAGCACCACGAGGCGAGGAGGGAGGATGCGGTTATACCCCGCTCCCAGCCCAACGCCCCAGAAGTGCCGCACCCGCGCAACACCGCCGCCGCCGACGCCGGTTTTCGCCGCTCACGGGTTGTCTAGCGTAATCTTGAGCTTGCGCGTGGCTCCGCCGGGAATGGTCGCGCCCTGGCACACCTTGGCGGCCGCGCGGCCGTTGAGGCGCACCTGGCACGTGCCGCAGCGTCCGTTTTTGCAGTCGAACTTGATCCGCAGACCGGCCTTCGCCGCAACCTTGCCGATGTTGTCGCCCTGCTGCGCGTACACGACTTTGTTGCCCTTCTGCGGGAAGGTCACCTCGACCTGCCCCTTGGGCGCCGATTTGGCCGTCTGCTGGCGCTGCGCAAGCTTCTCCTGCCGCCGCGCAAAGTCTGCGTCGCGTGCGTTCTGCGGCGGCGGTGCACTGGGAGCGGCCTGGGGCCTACCCCAGCCGAACTGCGCCGCGGGCGCGGGAGCCCGCGCAGCAGTGAGGTGGCGTGCCGGCGCGACCGGCGAAGTGAGCCCGACGGCGGCGAAGACGATCGAGGCCCACATCTGAAGGCTTCCGAGCAAATTCGCGAAATTCTTTTTGCCGGTGTACCTGCCAGTCCCGTGCCCAGTCCTGTGCCCAGTGTTGTGCGAGGGAGTTTTGTTGTAAAATTCTTTTTGCCTCGTTTCTTTTGTTATTAGCAAAAGGAGGGCTACACGACGCCCTCTACGCTGGGGTGCCGGCGCCCTACTGGGCGCCCCCCGCTCCCTTCCCCTCAGAGCCCCCCATCCCACTAGCATTCCCCCGCGGTCCCTCGCGGCCGCGTGACGCCGCACCAATGGCGCGCTGTGCCTCGTCCGCGAGCGCCACCCAGAGCTGCACCGACAGTCGCTGCAGCGCAAACGGCATCCATTCGCGCGCCGACCACGACGTCTGGTCGTACTGCCACCACGTGAGCTTCCGGCCCGCCACCTCAGCCACCCGGATCAGCAGCTCCTCCACCCCCGCGCTCATTGCGCCGAACTCCTCGAAGAGCAGCGCCTCCACACGGCACTTCCCCTCTGCGTCCGTGTGTACTGGCCCTTGACAGCCTCGACCGTCCCGGTGGTCCCGGACCCCGTCCGCGGGTCCCACCTCCCCACCCTCCCGCCCCTGTCCCCGCCCTCCACGCCCAAACCGTCTCGCGGGCGCGTGGGGCAGCGTGTTGCCGCAAGCGACGAACGCCCCCATGCGCCGTCGCGAAATTCTTTGGTCAGAGGGCGCGGGGCTGTGCCCGCTGGCGGGGTTGGCTCACAGAATTCAGAAACAACACCGCGCGCACTTTCAAGCTATTTCCGCGCGAACCAGAGCAGATGCTTTGCTTACTCGGGCTGTCAGCCCTTAAGGGCGTCCGTCGGAGGGGCAAGGGGCGCGTCAACGCGGCTGCTCGTAGATGACGGCCGTGCACACAGGGAAGGCCACGCTCCCGTCGACGTCTCCGAGGAACTGGGGGAAGTCCATCGGCGGCGCGTCGCGCGGCTGGGCCCGCTGGTCGTTCGTGAGGCGCCTGGTTTCGCAATCGTGGGTGGGGGTGGTTGCGCCCTCGAGCTCTTCCGAGACAGCCCTACCCCTCCCGCCGTTGCAGGGCTCACCCACCGGCTCTGGAGGTCGCAATCGCGTCACGCTCTCGGGGCGGTCCTGTCGCCGGCGCCACTTGTTGAATCCCGGCTCTATCTCGCCGCTTGGCGAGGTTGAAGTAGGCTCCACCTCGGCTACATCTCAATCTCGGCTCTATCTCGCCGCTTGGCCAAGTTGGAGTAGGCTCCACCTCGGCTACATCTCAATCTCGGCTCTATCTCGCCGCTTGGCGAGGTTGAAGTAGGCCACGCGGTCCGACGCGCGCCTGATTTTCAATTCTTGCTTCTGACTTACTAGCCCTTCCTTGAAGTTGTAGGCCACGCGGTCCGACGCCGGAAGCGGAGTCGGTACTCTCTGCCGCCGCCGTGCGCATCCACAAGCTGGTCCTCCTCCTATTGATAAGGAGATCTCAACTACCCAAAGTTGTTCAATAATAATCGGCCACGCGCTGCTCCTCCTCCTACTTACTAGCAGGTGTCAATGACTCGCCGACTAATCACAATCGCCCGCGAGGCTGGTCCTCCTTGCAGGTGTCGCGGTCGCACCGCTCGGGGCGCAGCAAGTCCCACCGCAGCACCTAATGATTAATTGCTAGGTTGTCAGTTACGAATTCGTAATTGGGCGAAGAAGGTCCCACCGCAGCACGTCGTACAGCTGCGGCGCAACCTTCTGCCAGTGGACGTAGTACCACCTAATCACTCATTATTGACCACTAGTCATAAGCTATTAACACGTCTGCCACAGGACGTAGTACCACCTAGTCGTTAGAAACTATTCATTATCAGTCATTGATAACTTTTGCCAGTGGACGTAGTCCACCCCAGCTGCAGCGCGATCGGCGCCATGCCCTGCCGCCGCCAGTGCTTGTACAGCTCCATTGTCATCTTCGCGTCGTCGCACGCGTCGTGCGCCTAAAACGGCAATACTGACAGTACTAACAACAAAACCATGCTAAAAATAGGACTCTTATCATCATGACGCACCGCTGCTGACAGCAATGATGCACCACCGTGCGGAGATGTCTAGGCTGCGAGGACAGCGAATACGACGGTGGTGCTGCCGGAGACAGCACGGGGCCCATGTCCTCGCTAGCGCTGGTCGGAATACCAAAGGTGTGTGTTTTGGCTTCTAGGGACGTCTCGCGAGCATCTCACGCGAGAAGACGGCGCGGTGCGCCTGAACAGCCGAGAGGCAGCCGAGAGACAGCCGAGAGATGGCGAGAGGTGGCCGAGAGGTGGCCGAGAGGTGGCCGAGAGGTGGCCGAGAGGTGGCCGAGAGGTGGCCGAGAGGTGGCCGAGGTACAGCCGAGGTACAGCCGAGGTACAGCCGAGCGGTAAAGCACGAACTTAT